AATGAAATATATATATATATATATATATATATATATATAAGCATATCAATCAATGAAATATATATATATATATATATATATATATATATATATATATATATATATATAAGCATATAATCAATGAAATATATATATATATATATATATATATTATAATTGTTTTTAAATATATATAATCATCGCAATCAACACCAGGACTACCATGTTTCAAACCTGAAACCTCAATTTAAATTCAATATATATATATATATATATATATATATATATATATATATATAGAGAGAGAGAGAGAGAGAGATAGATAGATAGATAGATAGATAGATAGATAGATAGATAGATAGATACATACATACTGGGTTAGTAGTACATTTAACAGTATTATTTAATTAAACATTATTTTTTATTCAACTACATCTACCAGGGGGCTCACATTTTTCTAATATGATTTCTCAAATATTCAGTCCGGTAGATGTACTTGGATAGAAAAATACTGTTTAATTAAATAATTCTGTTTAATTAAATATTAATGTTTAATTAAAAAACAGGGTTTCTATTTGAATATGTTTATCCATCAAAATATTGTTTAAACAAAATAAATTAAAAATAACAAATATGTCTGTGTGTCAACTGATGATAAATGATAAAACCTAATGTTGACTTTTTAACAGTATTCAATATTACAATAAGACCTACAACAGATTCCGATATAGAGCGATGTTTTGAAAATTTTAAGAACATTCATAAAAAGTTTAAAGCCCCAGCCTTTACAAGCTTTTTGGCATTACTGACAAAACCACGATAGAATCGATTTCCAGATACCGACATTTGAAGATCGATTTTGTTGCTAGTCCGGCATCTAAAGATCGATTTTATCTTGAATGCCAAAGAGTTTGCAAAAGCCAGTATTTTAAACGTTATTGATGTTTTAAAGGCAATTTAAAAACATCGGCCTGTCTTTTCTCTCTTTTTTATATATATATATATATATATATATATATATATATATATATATATATATATAAACACACTCACATATAAACACACACACATATAATAATATATTACACACACACACACACATATATATATATATATATATATATATATGGGTGCGAGAGTGTTTACATGAAGAATAACCGTGCTTTTATCACGCGCTATTCACGTTTTGTCATGATTCTCAGTAGATATATTAAATATATGTTAAGATATAGATATATCTATATCTAATATATATAGATATATCTATATATTAATATATAGATATATTACCCATTTTCTGACCAATGATAATAAACAATAGGCTATATATATAGCCTGATTGTTATCAAGAAGCAATACAGAATTGGAATTTCTGTTAATTATCCTCGTCTTGTTTTCATACAGATGCGCTTAAAATAAAGGCTTGAACATAAGTTTCCCTGACTTATATCCCTACACCAATGATTTCTCAAATCATGATGGGTAAGTGATTATATTGGAGGTTAACGCTTTTATATTTATGATTGCCGCAACTAAAAGAACAAATATCGAAAAGCCGAATTCCAATTCCATTTGGGTTTGTTATATTCACTTTTGCGCAAATGCCATTGGAAAATGTATTAATCTACCTGTTCTCCCTCCGGCTATGGGTTAATTAGTAAGATCTGTGCCACTAAAATCATTATCACGCCCCCCCACCACCACCACTAAAAAAATTCTTACAATATAAAATATTTTCTGGTTTTGAATAACCTGCAAATGGTTGATAAGTCGTAGAAAACGAATCACTTTAATCCATAAAAGCACAAATCCGACCTTGCTAATGAATAAATAAAATATTCCCACCTTTTCAAAATCGGATTGACCACTGCATCCGACAAAAAAACTGGATTTGATCTCTTCGTGAAGCTGGAAAAATATCTATACTATCCAGATCAATACGGTAAGAATTGTGCCCCAACTTTTTGAGAACGCTTTGGACAATCTAGAAGAACGTTGAAGATAGATTAGAAGAACCGGAAATCCGAGGTAGCGACTACCAGACGACCGAATTATTAAATAATGTTAGTGAGAATATCGAAAATAAATTTCTAACTAATTAAAAGGCTTGAAAGGAAAGTTACATGTTTCAATGGGTGTCAGATTTCAAAGAGTAATATATTAATCATATCATTTGAAGATAAAATATCAAACGATAACTTGCACTACTTATTCTGTAGAAAGTCAACAAGATATTCGAAGCTGAACATTAAAAGTTCCTTTATCAGTCGGATCTGTATATTTCGTTAGATGATATCCGATTAATATTTAGGACCCTGATATAAATAAATAGGTGCAGGAAATAGCTTGTGTATTTTAATGCATCTAAAACGAAACTGCTGTCGTTTATTTACACCAGAGAAACGTCCCTGCCTCCTATCAACATGGTTGATGCTCATCTCAACGCCAGCGCCTCACTGCTCTTTCATGACCTCACGTTCTAGACTGGCCTGAGTTGGAAAAAACTACATTGAATCAATTGCTGCATCTACTGCAAGGAAATTTGGTTCTCTGTTTTGCGCCAGAAGGTTCTGAATAAATATTCTGATAATGATTCTGATTCCAATTCCTATTCCCGTTGCGTTCGTATGTTGGGAAAGATATGACTACTTCTCCATCCTTCACATGTACAAATCTACCATTCGTCCATGCATGGAATACTTTTGCCCCGCCGTTCATTTCGAAGTTCTCGACAAAATCCAAAGACGGATATATAATGTGATCGGTCCTGACCTGGGGTCTCGACTTCAGTCACATTCTCCCTCTGTCTTTTCTATAAACATTTTCATGGCATCTCCTCTAACGAGCTATTTTCACTGGTGCGCCGTTTGCGTAAATTTAAATGTACTACTAGGTTGGCATCTCGATCCCACCCTTTTAATGTCGAAACAGTTAAATATAACCGCCTCTTCTACTTCAAAAGCAGCTTCTCTCACACTTCCCAACAGCGGAACTCCCTTCCTCTTACTTGCTTCCCTAATAAATGCAATCTTCAATAATTTAAATGTAATGTTATTCAACATCATCTGTTGATCCCTGTTCTTCCTTTTATCCTCCCCAGTTCTTCTTTTTATCCTTTCCTCGCCCCGCCCCCTTAACCAGTCTTTTTGCTTTTTACACTCTCTGTAGCACATTGCGTACTAGTGGCACTCCTGCCTTGCTTGGGGTGAATTGCTTAAACAATTTTGATGAAAACACCTGATCTGAAAAGGTGAGTAGTATTTATAAACCTAACTCACACAATCCTAACTGATGAATGTGTTCTCGTAGTATAACAGAAGTTAAGCAACTTCGAGTCTGGTTAGTACCTATATGGGTCACCGCTATCATAGATCCGGTACAATAATATGAAAAATACTTTAATCTTTGAATATTGTTTTTCTTTTAGAACACCACTGTGTTTGCTGATAATGACACAATGATGGGCAGAGTTCGAATTCTGTTATTAAATAATAACTGATGGCGAAATAAAATTTATTATGTAAATTAGGGGGAAATAATTTTCAAATTATTTAATATAAAAAGTTCACGATTAATATTATCTTGTCTATTTATATATCTAAAAGTCCATGATAATTATTAAAGACCGACATATATTTCTTTTGCCTGTAACAATGTGTATAATAACGGAAAATGGATGTATATATGTATAGACAACAAATTCTCTCATAATCCCTACCCAGAAAGCCGTAAATGCAAAATAAATGTATCTTCGCCCAATACAAATCTTGTCAGGTTTCAGTATATACGTGAAGTTATAACACATTACTCTATCTATATATAAAATTCTGTGACTTCCCTTAGCCCGCCTGTCCAACACACTCTCTAAAATAGCCATATATTGACTGATCGAAATCAAATTTTGCGGAGAGGTACAAACAAGTAAGTAGGTACAAACAAGTATGTAGGTACAAACAAGTAAGTAGGTACAAACAAGTATGTAGGTACAAACAAGTAAGTAGGTACAAACAAGTATGTAGGTACAAACAAGTAAGTAGGTACAAACAAGTATGTAGGTACAAACAAGTAAGTAGGTACAAACAAGTATGTAGGTACAAACAAGTTTTACAAACAAGTAAGTAGGTACAAACAAGTATGTAGGTACAAACAAGTAAGTAGGTACAAAGTACAATTGGTTTTACTTTTAATTTTTCCAAAAAGAAGTTTTATTATTTCATATACAAAATACTGCCACTATTTGCATATCTTTTCTTAAAATTTTTTTCTAGAGAAGAATTCAGTTACCAGTTCGACTTGCGTTTCCGAGAAGTATAAACAAATCACAAGGTCAAACGCTTCAAAATTTTGGAATTTGACCTCAGAAAGAAAAATATACTCTTGGCCTGTTTTATGTTCAAGTGTAAGAAATCCTAAGAATTTATTATTCGTTAATAAAAGGGAAAAAGTAAATTTTCTTAAAAAAAAAAGATTATTTACTATGAAGTCCTATAAAAATATATTAAATTAAAGAAAGTATTAAAGCACGAAGTTTTTGTCAAAATATTTTTCCAAACAAATCAGCTTATTTAATTTTCATCGATTGGTTTGCGAAATTGAACGCAACGTAGAGTTTGTAAATATCGAAAAAAATGTTAACGATAACTTCAACAATATGGATATGCGAGGATTTCAGCACGCTGAATTCTAGTAGTACACGTATAATTCGGTATTGATTATAGTTTCCGAAGGCAAATTTCGTATTAATTATAGGTTTATAAAAATCCTGTATTTATTCTATGTTTCTATCGATATTCCATTAATCCTCACCGATCCGAAAAACTGAAACGGCAGACATTAATGACTTATGTGAATGGTTTTATCAATTTTTAGCCGATAAAAAGAGAAGATTGTAAATCATACGAACGTCGAGTCCATTTAATAAATAAATAAATTCGTTAAATTACTCGAAAAAAAAAAATCAAATATACCTTGAAAGTAATCTTCCCCAAAATTTGAAAGACATTCTTACCTCATTCTTGGCTTCCGGTCATATCAGGTTCAAACACTAGTTCCCGTGCGATCACTGAAGTTAAGCAACCTCGAACCTGGTCAGTACCTTGATGGTTGACTGCTTGGGAATGTCAGGTGCTATAAGCTTGTATATACGGGTTGTGTAATGGTTAATGGTTCTGAATTTTTTGTCTAAAAACTGAGTTCCAATTCCCGTTGGGTTCGTTATGTTGGGAAACTTATGAATTTACTTTTCCCCCACCCACCAGCTATCAGGTAATTATCACTAAAACTAATTATTATCTCCCCACAACAAAAATAAAACATCAAATCAAATACAAGAATTTAGATTACGGCCTTAAATAACCAATAGAGGTTGATCTGCCGCTAAACATAATCAACCAACCAACCACAAAACTATTTCCTCTCTTTTGAAAAAATCACATCGAAGACAATCAGTGATAATGGAAAGAAATCACTTTCTTTTTTTTCATGGAGAATAATGAAAATGAAATTACTATAGAAAAATCACTTCGAATGACTTATTTGATTCGCTATTATTATTTTCCACGAAATATATTAAATAATATAATCGTGGCTTTTGTCAGGAAAACAAATATCCAATAATTAGAATGATTTACGGATATGAATATCTAGCGAACAAACTGTTCTCTGTGCAAGGCACTAAACAAATTTCAATTTTTGACGTCAAGCAATAAAATACTTCCATTTCATTTTTTTAAGCAAGACGAGAATTCAAAGGGTTAATACGCGATCTTAAAGTAGGTGACCTTGTCAAAAATATAATAGAAAATGTATTTGATTTATTCTACGGTTTGTTCGAGAGAACATCACGATGGAAGGAAGAAGATCCTGAACAAATTCCGATTTGCTTTTTCTAGAAATTTCGTGTTTATTTTCTATGTTAAAACACTTTTTTTTATTTTCCAGCACCATCTGTAAAGCTACAAAGATACGAGACAATCGGATACTAACACAAACAGACGTTAATACTCCATTGTGCTTGTCAGTGGTGAAAGAATAGAAAAGATGCTTTCAAACACAAACATACTCCCAACATAGATTCCCAGAAACTCAAAGATAAAATCTAATGCTGATAAAAAATATGGTAATGGTAATATTAATCATTTACTTACATGGAAACATTTGACCTTTATTTGCAGCTGTCGGCGGAAATCGAAACTGTTGCTATATTTGGTCTAGTGATCCTGATTTTTCTCTCGAGGTTCTTGACAAAATCCAAAGATCACTTTCTCACCGGCATGACGTAGATTCCCACTGTCATTTCTACAATTATTTTCATGGCAAATTCTATGTCGAGCTTTTGGTTTTCCACTTGAGTCCTGACTGCATGAATTTAAGCATGTTACTGGATTGGCTTCTAGGTCTGAGCCTTTTATTGATGAAACAATTAAATATAACTTCTACTCTAACCGTTTATTTTCTCCCACTTCCCGCTTGTGGAACTCCCTTGCTTTTACTTGCTTCTATGATAACTACAATCTTCAAAAATTTGAATGCAACGTCAATCGCCATCTTTTTACGACCCATTCATTTTTTGTCGTTTCCGCAATCTTCCCTATCCCCAGTCTTTTCTATTACTCACTGTAAACCCCTGCCTGCTAGTGGCATTCGCGTCTTGCTTGGAGTGAAATGTTTAACACACACACACACACACACACACACACACACACACATATATATATTCCTCAATGTAAGCGCAGCTCTTGCACAACAGTCGTTACACACACAGACACACACACATACATACACACACACATATATATATATATATATATATATATATATATATATATATATATATATATATATATATATGTGTGTGTGTGTGTGTGTAACGGTCCGCTTAGGTGAAACCTGGGAAGTTTTGTCTGGTTCACTAGGTTTATCTAAGTCTGCTCTACGGTTGTATTGAGCTCTTTTGTTAGTTGTTTACTCGTGTCGGGGTTTTTTTTTGGGCTTTAAACCTGTATCTGTGCGATTTTGTTCGACAGACTTTCATGTTTCTAGCTCTTTCTTTTTTTAAAACCTTTTTTTCCTTCGAGATTGATTCGATTATTGGCAAATCAAAAATTCGAAGGTTTTTCGAAACGAGTATAGTTACTTATATATATATATATATATATATATATATATATATATATGTGTGTGTGTGTGTGTGTGTGTGTGTGTATATAACGACTGTGTTTAGATGAATATAGCAAAGACAAATATATAGACAGGCTGATAGATAGATAGATAGATGCGATATGATACGATATGATACGATTAGAGTAGAATAGACAAAAATAGCTATAAACGGACTGAGAAATAGATAGATAGATAGATAGAGAGAGAGAGAGATAGAGAAGGAGAGAATTCATCAATACCACCAGAAGTTGATTGCTATAAACATAGACACCGACAAAATACAATTTTTACATTAAAATATGAGTATACTTAAATAGATGGAAATAAACTGCGAAAGAGATAGATAGATAGATAGATAGATATAGATAGATAGATATATAATGTGCGTACTTTGATATGTATATATATATATATATATATATATATATATATATATATATATATATATATATATATATATATATATATAGTAGATATGTAGAATTAGATAGATAGATAGATAGATAGATAGATAGATAGATAGATAGATAGATAGGAGAAAGAAAGAGAGTGTGTGAGTGATTGAGTGCGCGAAGCAGATAGGATCAAAACATTTGCTGAAGGATATGATCGAAGCGAGATAAATGTAAATGTAGGGAATATTGACAAGGATTTATGTTCTGTGCCGAAATTACGTGAACGTACGGAAAGTTCACTACGTATATAGAAATGCAACTTCTTTTGCCCTCGGGAAATTAAGGAGATGCGTGAATGCACCTGGGTTAGGAGGAAATCTCCAAATGTGCAGCTTTTTGTTTAATTAGAGAAATCAGATTTTTTTTTTGTCAGCCATATCCGTTCGTTTAATTTATACGTTATGGCACTATGTGGATTTTTTGTTCAGTTTTGTTTTATATGAGTATCTTTTCTTGGCCTTATCGCTAATTCATCAGTTACTTTAAGTTGAGAAGAGATGTGACATCTAAAAGAAAAGGAATACTTGAATTAGCGACTGCCAAAGAGTTATCGTTCAATAAACGTCTCATATTGTAGTTATGTATAAGAAATTTTATTAACAAAGATCTGCTGACGAGATATCTTGCAAAATAACGTTATAGGTAATGTTATGAATTATCAAGAGTGGTCTCCCTTTGTTTTGTCACTCTCCTCTTTGAGAGAGCTATTTTCTCTTTACTGGGGTTATAAATGAACACAATACGCGAACCTTGTATTTTCAGTTGAATAAAGCTTTCTTAAAGCTTACACCTGCATACTTTTGTCATTACAGCTATTTTAATTCACGTAGATGTACTGTATAGTAATTGGCAGAAGTCAATGAAAAATGGTTGCCCTGAAGCAGCTAACGAGATATCTTGGCAAATCTAACTCTTAAAAATTGAAATAACGTCTGGTGTTTCTCTGTCCGCTGATTATTTGGGGGAGGTTTAAAAACCGATTATTGTCCACGGTTCCATTTTTGGTACGATGGACATTAATAGATTATAGGAAGAACCATACAATTAATATTTGATTATTATTTATTTTAAAATATAATCTCGCATATGAAGGACATATTTAATGGTATAAACACATCTAAACAAAACATTAATACTACTTCTTGTAGTACTTGCATATATAGTGATCGATATATCATGTAATATAGTAAGTAAACTTGTGTAAATATACAATACACACACACACACACACACACACATATATATATATATATATATATATATATATATATATATGGTGGAGTCTCCTATCGTGAACGAAAGATGAGGGTCAGCATTGGGTGGTGCCTTTCATTTTACACTTATGCATGCTAGCAGAGGCTTTTGTGGAGAAAATCAGGTAGGGAAAAGACATATGTCATTTGTGCTTTCTAAAGTGTGATACTAGCCCAGCCTTGTTGCAGGCGATAAAACCAAACTGATAGATGAAATTTGTTAAAGCAGGGTTTTGATGGCGTCTCTGCTTCAGAACCTGTCGAAGCTGATCACATGGCTTCAGTCTACTATCTTCAAAACCCATTAACTTAATCAAACATTTCTTAGGCCACTCCTTTCCGTTTGATGCTTGAGCTTCCCAGGTTTTAGATCAAAGTTGAGACGTTTCAAGTTGTCTTTCAATTTGTATTTGTAGCGTAAGAGTGGAAGTCCAACTGAAAGCTTATATATATATATATATATATATATATATATATATATATATATATAGAGAGAGAGAGAGAGAGAGAGAGATAGAAAAATAGACAGATAGATGGATTGACTTGACATCTCGACTTCAATCACTTTCTTCCCAACGTGTTGCGGCTTCTCTACAAATTCTCTACAAATATTTACATGGTAACTGCTAAACGAAATTTCTTCCTAGTGCCGCGACTACATGAATTTAAGTGTGCTACTAGATTGGACATCTAGATCCCATCCGTTTACTGCTAAAATAATTAAATGTAACCGACACTTCTACTCCAATAGTTTATTTTCTCACACTTCCCGACCGCAGAACGCCATTACGTTTCCTTGCTTCTCTGATAATTACAATCTTCAAAGATTTAAATGCAACGTCAGTCGCCATCATCTTAAACCCCATTGATTTTTTATCGTTTCCTCAATCTTCCCTTTCGTCAGTCTTTTCTATTACTCACTTCCTCCTAGTGTTATTCCCGACTTCGAGTGAACTTATATATATATATATATATATATATATATATATATATATATATATATATATATGCACAACGCAGTCGTAAGGTAGTGATTGAAAAGTGACCATTACATAATTCAAATTAGTGATATTTGCATTATACTACTGTTGAGGAAAATGTATATTCATTCTTAATGTAAATTATTGTTCTGTAATTATACACTGAGCACTATTTTATTAATATAACCGTCTAATGTGCGTTAATCTTTATTCATATATATATATATATATATATATATATATATATATATATATATATTTAACGTTTTAAATGCCGAATGGTG